ACTATTGGCACTATTATTAACACTATTGACTACTATTTATATAAACCACTTTATTACAAATAAATTTTGTTACTATTATTTTAATAATTAATGTTAGAGGATGATTATTTACAAAATGACGTTTAAGTGAGATAAGTAATGGCATTAAATGTGTTATGAGTTTAATACATTAAGTGATAATTAAAAATTCAGTGCAGGAATTACAAATTGGGTTATAAATACCATCAGCCTGAATCAGCTGAAAATGATTATGGTACTCAATGTGTTAAATTTGGTTCTAATAGAATTTACAAATTAATTGGAAACGATTTCACGAAATTCGATGAGGATGAATTTATCTTCAAATTTAAGAATGAATGATTATCATTAAAATTGATAATAAACCCTTAACACATTGAGTTCTAACTGTTGAGCTCGTCCATGAAATTATTAATTAACTTGCAATGGTCATATTAGGGGTTGACATCTTAAAGCACTAAGTGTGAAAACAATCAAGGCGCTTAATGTGTTGAAAATGAAATAAAACACGTTGAATGCTAATTAGTGATTGGAATTGTTAGCTTAATCTAAAACTTATCCCTAACCTCACCATTCTAGGATGCTGTAGAAAATTACAGATGCAAATATTTGTGTTTAAAAAATTATTTTACTCTTAACACGTTAACTACTAAGATTGAAATCAAAATATCATTGTAATTATTGATTAATTCGTAGTTATTGTATTTATATCTTTTTTAAAACAAAGATTGAAACACGTTCGCGATTATTAACTTAACACGTTGAATGCCATTTGGTGATTAAGGCCAAACAAGCCGACTCAGAGTTAATAGATTAATATCGCGCTTCAAATTAGTGACAAAATCTCGAAATTGTGAAAATATGGACTGAAATCAACGTGTTAAATTTAATTTTTGAGTGGTTAGTTAACGTGTTATTTAATTTTTTTTTCAAAAACACAAAAAATTGACCGTGAGCTGGCGATTAAATAAAAATAATACAAAATTATGATTTTATCTGGCAGTTAATGTGTTAAATTTAATTATATTTGATAAAAATACATTTTTTTAAAATTTTTTTCGGTGTATCTTCGTGAAATAACGATAACATTAAGAATTATTTAAATTTGATAAGAAACGAGAAGAAATTTTCGAGTTTTGTAAAAGTAGGTTGAAACAATTTGCTATAACACTAAAACTACAATTGGCAACGTTCACGTACTACGACTGTGACGAGATATCGAGTTTTATTCTCTCTCGAAATGGTTCGATTGTCAAGTGAATAATAAAACCGAAAAGAGAAACCCGAACGCAAAGGGGGAATAATAAAATATAAAATAATTAGTTTATCATTTTCAAGTTGATTTTAAATGTTTAAAGACTTTTGCGGTCATAAACCGGTTAGAGCTTGTCCGATGCCACAAAGCTTTTTGGAGAGGGGAAACGAAAACAAAATTAAAGTGGTTCACAAAAGCTTTTTTACCCCTAACTCAATTAAAAACGATCGATTTTAAAGTTTTTAAAAATTATTAAATTTTAAATTTAATTTCACTTTTTAAATCCAGTTATGAAACTTTTCGGCCGCAAAATTAATAATGGAATTGTTCAACCCTTTGATAATAAACAAATAGAAGTAAAACGAGTTAAAAATGAGCTGTTTATTTTCGCGAATACGTTTTTATAGTTAGGATGTTCGCCATAAGGTCGATAAGCCGGGTCGATTTACACATTACACGATGGGGGTTGACTTCGCCAACCCCTTTTCAAATGACTACGTCGGTGGTGGTGAGTGTTTAGTGTTAAAGAAGCGATAGAGTCGGTCGTTCCAAATGAAATATGATCTACTTATGCAGGAGACCTTAAGGAAAACTGTGTCTCTCTGCGGGTTAAACGAGATATTTATGTCAGAGGAGAGGTTTTAAAATTGTATTTTTATTTTTAATAAATTTTTATAGAATATTTCGCAATATAAACGAGGGTGAAATTTGTCTCCGCGTCTGATGCGGACGGAAAAAGCTGCCCAACGTAGGTAGATCGTTTTTCCTTGTCACGAGAGGAAATATTACCCCCTAAACTCGAAATGTACGACATAATAAGACATATTTTTATTTTACATAGAATTTTCAATTTTTCCTTCATCTTTTTATTTAGACGGTTAAAAAAAAGAGTTTGAAGGTGAGTAAGCTAAAAGAAAAACGCCGCGCAAACAAATTTCTTTCTTTAGGGTTTTCCGTGGGTTAGGTTAGATAGGTTCTTGCTCAACGAATATATTCAAAGATTTTGGTCACGTTCCAACCCCCTCAGTTTTACCCCCATCTACTTGTTCAAGCATCCGCCCAACGCCCCATCTATTGTGAGAAGAAGACTTATAGCGCTGGCGTCGTAAACTTGGATCATAAATCATCGTTCGAGTTAAAGGAGGGAAGGTTATTTGTCAATATTCCCTCTACATACAAAGATATTAGGGGTGGCTTCCTTGTTTTTCCATGTTATTTGTATTGATTACACAAAGATCGTGTGTTAATTGTTATTTGAAAGGGGTCGGGCAGTTAATTTAATTTCTCTAATTAAATTCGCGATATCTCCCCAAGTTCGGACTACAATTAAGGGATGCTAGGTAGAGATTAACCCATCGTGGAGTTGCAATTGAAGACTAATTGTAGTATAGCTTAATTCAAATATAACAACGGTAAACGGGATGATGAGAACTATCTCATGGTAGAGGGGTGATGATTAAGCCGTTTCTAATTGCTTGTTTATCCATATTCTATTCCAAATTAATTAATTTAAAAATGGTGAGTCTTGGTTTGATTTAGGATTAGCTTCCACTCTCTTCTGTCTCGTGGCTTGGTCTTTAATCATATTTTATTACACATTTTTCTAAATATCAGGAAAATTATTAAAATTAATTAAAGGGAACTTGATGGGCTATTCAACCAGCACACAATATACAGGGTGTTCAATTTAAAAAACTTAAGAAAAAGCGAACAATTTTTAAAATTTAATAATACCGTATAATACAACAGAACCCAATTTGAGGCATAATAATTGTAACTCGACAAGTATGTCGATGTAATTATGTAATTAATGTGTTAAGAGTGTATTTGCATTAATTATGAACATAAACCCATTGAGGTTGACATCAAATCAAAGATCTCTATCTCAAAAATATTCTAACCGAAAACTAACTAAATCCCTAGATAGCAATCAATGTGTTAGGGGTAATTTTAATTGTCAGGGTAGTTTTATTTTCTACCCAACCCAACCCAATTCGAATTTGACATCAAATTAAATATTTTTTTGGAAAATAATTTAACAGAAAACTAATTTCTATGTACTTTCAAGTTCATCAAGTTCGTAGTCAATGTGTTAAGGGTGTGGTTTAATTGAAACGAAACTTTAACACATTTCAAACATAATTCCAACGAGTTGAGCATCAAATCGAATTTAAGAAAATAATTTAGATATATTAAGTGTTTTGATCTAATTCTGCAGTTGGTAATTAATGTGTTAAGAGTGTATTTGCATTAATTATGAACATAAACCCATTGAGGTTGACATCAAATCAAAGATCTCTATCTCAAAAATATTCTAACCGAAAACTAACTAAATCCCTAGATAGCAATCAATGTGTTAGGGGTAATTTTAATTGTCAGGGTAGTTTTATTTTCTACCCAACCCAACCCAATTCGAATTTGACATCAAATTAAAGATTTTTTTAACAGAAAACTAATTTCTATGTACTTTCAAGTTCATCAAGTTCGTAGTCAATGTGTTAAGGGTGCGGTTTAATTGAAACAAAACACATTTTAAACATAATTCCAACGAGTTAAGCATCAAATCGAATTTAAGAAAATAATTTAGACATAAATAACCACTTAGTAGTCAATGTGTTAAGGATTAATTCGAATTTATTCAAAAATTTTTAAACAAAATCAAATTTTTCGACATTTTTTGAGTAATTTCTTGCAAAAACCCCCCAACTTTTCATATTTTCAGATTGTTATTTGCGATTTGTTCTCCACTACCCACTTTTAGACGTGGATGATTTATCGTTTTTAAAAGAAAAAGTACCAACTATCGTAGATCACGCACGAAGAGGACGGAGGGGCGGTGAAGAAGGCGGCCCAAACGCGAGGTTGGATCATAACGTTTTCGGAATGAGCAATTTCCCGAACTTTGCACTCGGGTTGTGCGATGTGAAATATTCCCAAGCGAGTTTCGGGAGTAGAAATTTATCATTTTCGAACAAACAAGTTTCATTTTTACTCACTAAATCAGTTCTATTTTTTCCCATTCATAATTTGGTTGGGATAATTTAAATTTGAAAATAAAAAAAAAAGCGATAATGAACTTTACCGAAAGTTGTCGCTTTTCTTTCGCGAATTTCTTATTCAGGAAATCTTTTGCATAATTTACCTCGACACACGTCGCAATCCACAATTAAGTTTGATTCTAACTTTAAAATTATTCGTTTTCCATTCTCGGGGGAGAATTGAGATAAAACCGAACAAAAGGATGGGTAATTTTTCAAACGCAAGGGATTCAGGTGCAACTTGATAAAGGAGTTTTCATAAAAAAAGAAATTCTTAAAAAAGGGCGAAAACGAAAGAGATAATGTCGAAAAGATTCGTGGAATTTCCTCGAATCTTTCGAAAGCGGGGATTTCAACCTCGCTTTACTATTCAACACGCGAATAGAACTAAACTTACTAAACGTCAGGTCAGCTTTGAGGGTGGATTTTTGGTTAAAGAGGTTTTAAGGAGAAATAAACGGTTATACCTCAAATAACATTTATCTATAAACCATAAATTTATAATTATAACGAACCAGTTCGAATTTAATGCACGCATTATTGAAAATCCCCGAGGAATATGATTCGGAAATTGCAGCGTGAAATATTTAATTGCACAAAACGAATAGAACTCAATAAAAACATTCGTTGTTTAAATAATTTAACCGAAAACTGCATCAAATCTAATAACAAAAATACTTATTACTAACCTGTAATGCATTTTTTTTCCTTAACCAGAAAAAATTATTTTTTCTTTTATCTTATTTTTTCTTCTACATCCTCGAACCACCTCCATCACTATTAACCTTACTTACACCGCGAAATATCTCAAGATTCTTAACCCAACCCATAATGTTTTGAGTAAAAATCTCAAATTTAAATTTACATCAATTCAAATTAGTCTGTTTTATTTAAATTAATTACGAAACTTCCTTTTAAGCGACGCTTTTTAATCCGGAAATGAATTATTAAAACGGAAAACCGTTCGCGATGAATTTTGAGATACCCCGACGCCGACCGTTTAATGCGGCGGTCGTGGTAGCACTGTGGAGGTGGTGGCGTCGCGGCGCCACCACCTCCCTCGAAAATCAACCCCGGGAAAACCGAACTTTCACGATTTCCAGCGAAAACACGTCAATTAAATTAAATTTATTCAACATAAAGAAATTAATAAAAATTGTACTTACGGGAAGCCCCCAAAAAATAAATTAGATCTTCATAATAATTTGTTGAAGGTTTTCCTGCAAAATAAAATTAATTTATAAAATTAATTAATTAAAATAAATAAATTAAAAAATAAAAACAAAATCGTACTAAGTTGCATCAAGAGATGGCGCTGTAACCCCATAAATTTAATTATTTCACTTTTACGATAACTTTGATTAAATCTTATATTTAATTTGAATATTAAGGTTAATTTGTGTATTTCCAAGGATTTATCGTTATTAAACCCGATGGGTTTTGCTAAATTTATGTGATTATCCAAGTTGACCATTCCGATTACACCCTCAGTGTACGATGTATCATTTACCAACCTCATTGATTCATGAACCATATAAATCGCTCCAAATACGTCGATTCTCCCCCTAAAAATCACTTCGATTAATTTTCATTAAAAAAATTTTTTTTTAACTAACCTTAATATTCAACATTTTCCTCTTAATTTATGTATTAATCCTTTGAATAGGTTTCAATTTTATTATAAATAAAGTTCTTTCTTCATAATAAAAACTAAAGTGAGGTTATGTTTCACAAAACTTTTTTCTTGTAATCATTTCGTTAATAAAACGGATGATGGGTGGTTTTAAGCGGTTGATAACACTAAAATGGGGCTTCATACACGTTTTGCGATCACTTTTTAACTTAATTAAGCCGTTAATTAACACGAAAATTACAAATTAAAAATGAGACGTTAACCCAAAAATTGAATACAAACAAATAGAAACAAACGAGGATTGTTACGTCACTCTATAAGATGGCGTTACTTTGAATTGTTTTTAAATAATTAATAAGTAAAAAATAATTAAAACAAATAATTAATTTATTAAATTAATACGAAATTGTTGTAATCAAATTAATTTAATTAATTTATTTATATAAAAATAAATTTTATTAAATATAGTTGCGATAGTCATTAAGAGATGGCGCTTGAGAAAAATTAAGATTTAAAATTAATTTTATTTTAAAACGATTAAAATAAATAAGTTAATTTAACGGTTAAATTAATTTTTGATTTAAATTACATTAAAATTGTTATTAAACTTAATCGATGATTCAAAGGAAAGTGTGGTTATGCTCTAAAATTTCTTTTGGGCGATTTAAACAAAATCATCACTTTTTGGTACTTTTAAACAACAAATTTAAGTAAATGGGTTTCTCGTCATCTCGTTTTGAGGGGATAAATCCACTTTTTTATATGAAATTGTAATTATAAGTAGAACACTAATAATATGACACTGAGACGAAACAGCAAGAGATGGCGCCACATGGTTTATTAAAATTTAATTTAAAAAATATTTTTAGTCTTAATTATTTATTTAATTTAATGGTTTCATGTTGTGTTTTGTATTAAATTGTATTAAATTAATATTAACAATTAATATTAAAATAAATCGATAATAAATCACAAAAAGAAAAAGTGGAAATTGTAGCAAGAGATGGCGCTACTTCATTGATTAAATAAATTATTTTAAATTGATTTATTCAAATTTAATGTAAAAATTAACTTAAATCTTAATTATTTATTTAATTTAACGATTTTAAGTTAAATTCTGATATAAATTACATTAAACTTATCATTAATATTAATNAAGTAGAACACTAATAATATGACACTGAGGCGAAACAGCATGAGATGGCGCCACTTGGTTTATTAAAATTTAATTTAAAAAATATTTTTAGTCTTAATTATTTATTTAATTTAATGGTTTTATGCTGTGTTTTGTATTAAATTGTATTAAATTAATATTAACAATTAATATTAAAATGAATCGATGTTTTTCCGCAAAAAGAAAAAGTGAGAATTGTAGCAAGAGATGGCGCTACTTCATTGATTAAATAATTTTAAATTGATTTATTCAAATTTAATGTAAAAATTAACTTAAATCTTAATTATTTATTTAATTTAACGATTTTAAGTTAAATTCTGATATAAATTACATTAAACTTATCATTAATATTAATTGACGTTTCTGATATTAAAATTGAGATTAATATTTTTGACACTTTTAAACAGCATATTTAATTAAAACATATTAAGAAATGTTTTATGACTCTTACTAAGATGATTAAATAAGTTTTTCCTTGTAACAATTTAAATTTAAAAATCCACGTTTTTATTATAATTCTTAATAAATCTATGAGATGGCGCCACTTGAATAAAAAGTCAAAATTCAAATTTAAAATTAAATTTTTTAATTAAATTAATAATAAATTAACAAAGATAACTTAAACATCGTCGTAATCTTCTAAATCGGCTGTAGTTGTGTTATAATCAGTGGTGAAATCGGTCGTTGTTGGGGGTTCAACTTCATCTTCGCTGCTCTCCTCGTTCATAATCTCCTCGTATTTTTTATCTTTAGTCTCGAAAGCTTCCTCTTTTTCTTCGAAACCAACGGGTAATTTATTAATCCGTTTCAAATTAGGTAAAAGAACCAAAACCGGGACGCGAGTTGGATCTTCAACGGCTCCACCTTCACCCTCAACCTCTTCGCCACCTTCATCATCTTCTCCACCACCTCCAGGCGGTTTTGGCTCCCCAGCAACGGGGTTCTCCGAATAAATTAAAGTTTCCAATGCTGGTAAACAGGCGAGTTTACGAAATTGCCGAATTTTATTGATCTGATTCTTGCGTAGATTCAAATAGGTTAAATTGACCATGTCTCGAGTGAACCCATTCAATTTACGGATTTGGTTATCGCGTAAATGAAGGATTTTTAAGTTGGTTAGTTTCGCCATGTCGTTTTCTATGAAGATCGTAATATGGTTTTCGGCCTAAAATAGTTTTAAGGGTTAAAATTAATTTTTTTTTGAGGTTAAGTTACCAAATAAAGATTTTCCAAGTTATCGGGGAAGGTTCCGCTTAAATCAAACATCGAATTTCCTCGCATTTCGATTTGTTTTATGCATTCTAATCGTTCCTTATCGAATTGGGGGGTAAAAATTAAATTATCTAAAAACAAAATTAAGGGCCATCTATGAATGAGAGGCGGAACTAAGTTAAATTAATTTTAAAAATTAATTTTTTTTTCTTCTTTTAAGCAGATTAAGATAAATGGTTATCTTGGTTAAAGTGAATTATGGTAATTCGAAGATACATTCGTCATTCGCGTCGAAAACGATCATTAATTCACATCATAAACATCTCGCAGTGAATTATTTCTGGCAAAAATCACAACCCTTTCGAATTTTATCCGTTAAAACCTTTTAACACGACGGGGTACCGTGTTCCCACAGGAAATGTATAAAAATTTTACACTTGATTCGTCATCGGGACAATTAGTAAAAAATCGAAAAGTCATCGATCAAATTTTCTCGTCGCGATTCATCAATAAAATAAATTCTAACTCTCTCCGTATCCCTTCGTGTAATTCCTAGCGAAAACTTAAAACGATTTAGAAAAAGAATAAAAAAAAACGGAAGGAAAAGATTTTTTTTGGTTGATGGGGTTCCGGTTACCGTGAAAATCCTAAAAAGTCCCAAACAACCCTAAAAAACCTGTGTATAATGATTACAGAGGGTGTTTTCTTTTATACATTTTAAAAGGAAACAGGTAAAAATTGAGGGTTGGTGAAATATCGTTTTTTTTTTTGATTGATTATGTTTTGAGCTTTTAAGATTTATTGGGAAAAAGGTGTTTAAAATTTTTAAGGGGTTAATCGATTATTATTCAGAAACGAAATCGCAAAAAAAATCGTGTGAAAAATTGTTTAATAAAAACTTTATTGTTAAAATTCCTCATTTATTAATTTTTTTAATAAAATTCGTAATCTACATAAAAAATCCTTTAATATAAGCCCAAACACGATGGGGTTATCTTTAAAAACGTGCGAGATACTCAAAGAAATAGCTAAGAAACAAGCGACGATCAATAATTTTAAAAAATCGGATATCTTGCTGGTTTTAAAAGATAATGATATCGTGTTTGGGCTCATTTTAAAGGATTTTTTGTGGAGATTACGAATTTTTAATAAAATTAATACGTTAATTACCCACTTTTACATGATATATTTAAAATGAAGATTTTTTTTAATTCTTTCTTTATGATTAAATAAGTTACTAATTTTAGAAAGGATTAATTAATTTTTTATAGCAAAAAGATAATTTTATTTCTTCATTTTAAACATTTCCTTTTAATATTGATAATTAACATATCAATTTTATTAAAAATTCTTAATCCTCACAAAAAGTCCTTTAAAATGAGCCCAAACTCGATGGGGTTATCTCAAAAAACAGCTGAGATGCCAATCAAAAGATTAAGAAACAAGTGACTATCCATAATTTAAAAAAATTGGATATCTCGCTTGTTTTTAAAGATAACTATATCGTGTTTGGGCTCATATTAAAGGATTTTTTATGGAGATTACGAATTTTTAATAAAATTAATACGTTAATTACCCATTTTTACAAGATATATTTGAAATGAAGACATAAAATAACTTTTTTTACATTTTTTCTTTATGATTAAATAAATTACAAATTTTAAAAAGGATTAATTACTTTTTTATGGTAAAAAGTTTCATTTTAAGCATTTCTTTTTGATATTGATAATTAACATATAAATTTTATCAAAAATTCTTAATCCCTATAAAAAATCCTTTAAAATGAGCCCAAACACGATATCATTATCTTTTAAAACAAGCGAGATATCCAATTTTTAATAATTATTGATCGTCGATTGTTTCTTAGTTATTTCTTTGAGTATCTCGGTTGTTTTTTGAGATAACCCCATCGAGTTTGGGCTCATTGTAAAGGATTTTTTGCGAGGATTAAGAATTTTGAATAATATTAATACGTTAATTATCAATTTAAAAAAGAAATCGTTAAAACGACGAATTAAAATAAATTTTTTAAATTTTTTTCTTGATGATTGATCGAGTGGGGTCACTTTTGAAATTTTTTTCTTAAATTTCTTTTTTTATTTTGAAAGGTTCCTCTTTACTCGTTTTCTCACAACTTTTTACCCCGCGGAGATGATAAATGAGCCCGAATATCGGTTTTCACATAGTCAAGGGTACGGGTCCGCGGTCTCCGACGGCAAAGGGTCGCTCGAAAACATTATATTTCTCCGTCTTCGCCTCTCTTTCTCCTCCCAGATTCGTAATTATTCCGAAAACGAGATGGTAAATGTGACCGCGTCGGCGAGGAGAGAGAGAGAAAAATTAGGTAGAGAGCGCCTCAAAAAAAAAAGTTATTAATGAACTTAAGCATAAAGTTAAGCCCGAAAATTAAGATTTAAATTTAAAAAAACTTACAATTTAAGTCTAAACATTGCAACATGGGTTGATTAATATCGCAGGTTTCCGTGATGCGGTTTCTGGATAAAATTAAAACTTGCAGATAGGGCATTGGGTTTAAACAGGCGGATTCGATCCGATTTCTTTGGGCTTTGATGTAAATGACGAAAGGCATTTGGGATAAAACTTGGAGGGAGTCTGTGTTTAAGTAGTTTCCGGAGACATCGACGAAGAGGAGGTGCTTAAAATTCAAGATTACCTCGATGTTGGTTAATTTCCTAAAAAATCCGCGTCAATTTTAGATCAAAATGTTAAAAAATCTTACTGATCGAAAGCTGAGAGCATCAAATAAGCGTATCTAACCCCACTTTCATCTTTTCCCAAAGTGTTTAAGCACCTGGAAGCTTCATCGAACGTTAAATTCTTGTCGATTATTACTTCGGCGGTTACAATGGGTACTTTTGAGCCTAATGGGAAGCCTTCTTCTGGTGGTTTTTCCTCTGGGGGATCCTCCATTTCAATAATTTAATTTTTCGTTAACAATTTTGGCTTTTAATCGCTGTCAATGCCAAAATTTGATTAAAACTTTGAAAAAACGCGCTGAGATAAAAAAAACATAAATAAATAAAGGTTAACTTGAATCGTCCTCAATCGATCGGCTCAACTATAACCAGCAAGCTGGCCATATCGGCCTCTTAACAAAGAGATAACTAACAATGATTTCGAAATTTTCTTGTTCCCCTTTTTTTTAATTCTTCATTTTTTCTTCCTCTTCATCTTTCAGTTCTCTTTCTCGAAATGTCTCGACGTCCGCGAGCTGAGTCATCATCAGCATCTCGAAGCCTCTCGATATCTACCACCAGAAGATATATATCTTTAAGATTGAGGAGCGTTGCTGTTCTTTGTCGACTCCACGACTTTGAACTCTGAAACGGAGATGATGACGATAATAATTATTACCAAGATGATTTTTCAAAAATTAATTATTATAAAAATAACGAAAAAAAATTGTTTGACGAAAATTTTCGGATTAAATCGAAATTAACTTAAATTAAATTAAATTAATGAGGGAAAAAGAGGTTAGGTTTTAATTGAGGGAGGGATATATCGTTTTAGCGAGATACAAAAAAAAGAAACGAACAAAAACGATCGCGGACGGCCACCTTAATTAACTAGGTGCCGATAATCGCGATGGCCGAGACGTTAAAGGCTACTTTATTTTAATGATTCTGGGTAATAGTTGTGTGTGTGTTAAGTTTAAAAAATCGCACAGGGCTTAAATATAAAAATTAAAAAGTGAGTTATACACCAAATTACAGCTAAAAGTATCCTCTTTAAAACGATAAAAAATATTTTTTAAATTGTTATGTTAAAATTCGTAATCTACATAAAAAATCCTTTAATATGAGCCCAAACACGATGGGGTTATCTTTAAAAACATACGAGATACTCAAAGAAATAGCTAAGAAACAAGTGACGAGCGATAATTAATAATAATTAGATATCTCGCTTGTTTTTAAAGATAACTATATCGTGTTTGGGCTCATATTAAAGGATTTTTTATGAAGATTAAGAATTTTTAATAAAATTAATACGTTAATTACCCATTTTTGCAAGATATGTTTGAAATTTGATTTCTTTTGAATTTTTTCTTTATGATTAAATAATTTACTAATTTTAGAAACGGTTGATTAATTTTTTGTGATAAAAAAATTATTTTATTTCTTCATTTTAAATATTTCTTCTTAATATTGATAATTAACATATAAATTTCATTAAAAATTCTTAATCCTGATAAAAAATCCTTTAAAATGAGCCCAAACTCGATGGGGTTATCTCAAAAAACAACTGAAATACCAACAAAAAGATTAAAAAACAATCGACGATCAATAATCAAGAAAAATTGCATATATTGCTTATTTTTAAAGATAACTATATCGTGTTTGGGTTCATATTAAAGGATTTTTTATGAAGATTAAGAATTTTTAATAAAATTAATACGTTAATTACCCATGTTTGCAAGATATGTTTGAAATTTGATTTCTTTTGAATTGTTTCTTTATGATTAAATAATTTACTAATTTTAGAAAGGGTTAATTAATTTTTTGTGATAAGAAAATTATTTTATTTCTTCATTTTAAACATTTCTTCTTAATATTGATAATTAACATACAAATTTCATTAAAAATTCTTAATCCTCACAAAAAATCCTTTAAAATGAGCCCAAACTCGATGGAGTTATCCCAAAAAACAACTGAAATACCAACAAAAAGATTAAAAAACAATCGACGATCAATAATTAAGAAAAATTGGATATATTGCTTGTTTTTAAAGATAATTATATCGTGTTTGGGCTCATATTAAAGGATTTTTTATCGAGATTAAGAATTTTTAATAAAATTAATACGTTAATTACCCATTTTTGCAAGATATGTTTGAAATTTGATTTCTTTTGAATTTTTTCTTTATGATTAAATAATTTACTAATTTTAGAAACGGTTGATTAATTTTTTGTGATAAAAAAATTATTTTATTTCTTCATTTTAAACATTTCTTCTTAATATTGATAATTAACATATAAATTTCATTAAAAATTCTTAATCCTCACAAAAAATCCTTTAAAATGAGCCCAAACTCGATGGGGTTATCTCAAAAAACAGCTGAGATGCCAATCAAAAGATTAAGAAACAAGTGACTATCAATAATTTAAAAATATTGGATATCTCGCTTGTTTTTAAAGATAACTATATCGTGTTTGGGCTCATATTAAAGGATTTTTTATGGAGATTAAGAATTTTTAATAAAATTTATATGTTAATTACCCATTTTTGCAAGAAATGTTTGAAAAATCGCGATGACCACAAATATAGAGATGGAGAAATGAGTTATATACTAAATTAACGCTAAAATTGTCTTCTTTAAAATGATATATAACATTTAACTATTTAATAGCAAATTTGGTCGAAAATGATTTTTGAAACGTTGAAAGTGAATCGTTTTGAACCAATCCTCGAGTAGTTTCTGTTTCTTTGGTAATTTTTCTGGTGCGTTCGAGGTCTCGGGCGTGAGTATTGAATTCCGAACGGCGGAGAGTCGTTAAAATTTTAATGTTCTCCTCCGGAGACCGGACTCTGGTAGACCACGGGGACCTTAAAATGTAAATCAGTCAATCTTCGCGTCCGTTTTCATCTGCTGTGGGTGCCTTTTCAGCGGTTTCAAATAATTTACGTTCCACTTTGTTCTCCAAAAACCGTTTAAAAGAATACAAAACCCCATCGGAACTTATTAATTTGTCTTTTTTAAATTAGAATTCATGTTAATTAAAATCTCTTTTATTATTGTTTATTAATTATTTAAAGTATTAAAAAAGAATTCGTTTTGTTTAAGAACTGCTGATGGTCTCCCGACTCCGAACTGTCTTAAGTTACTGATAAATGGCGAGCAACGTTGACTTCAGTAGTCGTATAAAACGGAGTAATTTCATTTAAACTTTTTTAAAAAATTATTTTTCTTTTCTTTTTTTGGTGGTTTTTAAATTTATTTGTGTTTCTTAAAGAAACAGATTCCCGCGTCTTGTATATATCCACAAACTGACGTTGTGGGAGTTGGTTCCCGTGGGAAACCCATCCACATTCTTAACCAGGAAACACTAAAAGGAATTACACATTTTTTTTTAACTCAGATTTAAAGGGGAAAAATTTTTTTTTGCCAGGATTTAAAATTAAAAAATAAAGTGTTATATATCATTTTAAAGAGGACATTTTCAGCTTCAATTTGGTATATAACTCATTTCTTCCTCTTTATATTTACGGTTAACACGAGTTTTCAAAGTTAACGATTTTTTTAATCAAATCGTGAAATATTCGAAATTGCACCATATTGCAAAAAACTATTTTTGAGCCAAACTTAAAATCAAATAATAAAGTGTTATATATCATTTTAAAGAGGACATTTTCAGCTTCAATTTGGTATATAACTCATTTCTTCCTCTTTATATTTACGGTTAACACGATTTTTCAAAGTTAACGATTTTTTTAATCAAATCGTGAAATATTCGAAATTGCACCATATTGCAAAAAACTATTTTTGAGCCAAACTTAAAATCAAATAATAAAGTGTTATATATCATTTTAAAGAGGACACTTTCAGCTTCAATTTGGTATATATCTCATTTCTTCATCTTTATATTTATGTTCACCGCGATTTTTCAAAGTTAACGATTTTTCTAATCAAATCAAGTAATAAAAAATTGCAACCTATTACAAAAAAATTTTTTTGGGGCAAATTTAAAATAACATAATCAAGTGTTATATATCATTTTAAAGAGGACATTTTCAGCTTCAATTTGGTATATAACTCATTTCTTCCTCTTTATATTTACGATTAACACGATTTTTCAAAGTTAACGATTTTTTTAATCAAATCGTGAAATATTCGAAATTGCAACATATTGCAAAAAACTATTTTTGAGCCAAACTTAAAATCAAATAATAAAGTGTTATATATCGTTTTGAAGAGGACACTTTCAGCTTCAATTTGGTATACAACTCATTCCTTCATCTTTATATTTACGATTACCACGATTTTTCAAAGTTAACGATTTTTTTAATCAAATCGTGAAATATTCGAAATTTCACCCTGTTGCAAAAAACTATTTTTGACCCAAACTTAAAATCAAATAATAAAGTGTTATATATCATTTTAAAGAGGACACATTCAGCTTCAATTTGGTATATATCTCATTTCTTCATCTTTACATTTATGTTCACCGCGATTTTTCAAAGTTAACGATTTTTCTAATCAAATCAAGTAATAAAAAATTGAAACCTAATACAAACAAATTTTTTTGGGGCAAATTTAAAATAACATAATCAAGTGTTATATATCATTTTAAAGAGGACACTTTCAGCTTCAATTTGGTATGGTCTTTAGGGTGGATGTTTTTTAATACATAATTTTTTATCCATCCTTAAAAATAACTTTCATTAAAGCGGAGAAGAGAACTTGAAGATCCAGATAGAGACAGAGTCTGCGCGACTTCCGGTTCAGAAAAGACCGTTTAGGTTCCTTTAACCCTTTCCTTCTTTAAAACGTCACACAAAACACATCTGCGGAATAAAAGACTCCCGGCAGCGGGAGTTTAAGGAACTTGAAAGAAAATAAAAAAACCTAAATGAGGGGAAAAGAGTTAAGGAAGATGAAGATGAAGAAGGAGGGAGATACTCGAGAGGTTTATTAAAAAAATTATACGAAACGGGACATCTGGTCGCATCAAGTACTATTTCAAAGACTTTAATGGATTAAAAAAAATTGTTTTTTTATTTTTTGATTTTGCAGAAATAATTTCTTGAAAAGTTTTTACGTCTTCGCGTAAAAGGCTCCTTTTAATTTTTTGTTGTTTTTATTAATTCGTTTAAGGACAATAATAAAATCCAAGTAAACTTTGGGGAAGGTACGTAAGGAAACGGGGGGTGGGGGAAGTTTTATTAAGCCATAAGCAGTGGCGTAGCGAGTGGAACGATATGATACAACCGCGATGGGAAACTTAAGGTTTATTTTATTATTTTTTTTTATTCCAAACGACATTTGTGGGAATAAGCCGCCGGGCACCTGATTGTTTTTACGGCCCCGTTTTATTATTAGTAAAGTCGTCGTCGCACCTGTCTTCATCTCTATATACACCACTCTATCTGAAATGGACAGACTCCGAGTTGGATCGCTTTTTAACTTTTTTCATTGGGGGCGCAAATCAAAGTAAATAGGTTCATTTCAACAACTTCATTTTAAGAATTGCACTCCTACAAACGAAATAGTAATGTGGTATATACAAAAAAAAATTGATTCATTTAATTTTGATCGTGTTAATCGGACTTGATTGAAAAAGTTGATTCTATTAAAAAATATTTCGAATAAAAGTTG